TCGTATGTATTTGTTAGTAGTACAAGGGGAGTGGAGGGGAGGGTGGAGGGTAAGGGGTAGAAGGCGGAGTTCTCTAGGAGTATGGGGCAGGCGAGGTAGGGGCAACGGGAGGGCAGGATAGAGTATGACATGGAAAGAGCAGGGGAAAGGTGTATGACGGGTTTCACAGATTTCTAAATATTAACAAAAAAAAAAAAAAAAAAAAAAACCTATGGCGAGTGGCCACCCCTACAGACCGGACAGGCCCGGTTCGGGTGTGGGCTATGGAAGCACCGCATCCAATTTTCGCAGTCACAGTTGCTGCATCGAATGGCACAGCGCAGACAGATGTCACAGGCTACGCGGCTTGTACATGCTAGGAACACAGAGGCACGTCAACCGCAATTATAGAGGCATTGCCGTTCCAGCCCTTGTCTACAAATTGGACATGACATGTTGGGGTGCCGTACATGAGTACAGTACTGACTGTCATTGTACGTATGGAAGCAAAAACTCGCATGGACACAAGGCATGTGAACCACATGCTAGTTGAATCTCCGGCGGGTCATCAGAAAACGGCATGGAGCATCTTTCTTGGGCTTCCTCGGTATGTATTCCTTCTCTATGGGCAGACGACAACAGGGAGGATCGGTCCAACGCAAGGGCATTCAGCTGCTCCAGGATATGATCCACAACAGCTCACCCTGGTGATGATAAACTATGAGCACATCGCTCTGCCGGTGGTTCATATAGAAGTCTATTTTCCTCCTCGGACTGCTGTGTTCGTCGTTCGTCTGGCATGAAAGAGGGAGATCCGTCAGTGGTTGCGGTAGGTGTATGATCAATACTGCATGTGGGACATGCTAGGAGAGGATGTGGAGGGTGATGGCACCGGGGATAGTCCACGCAGTAAAGACACATACTTTCTATGACAGCTTCCTGGAAGCATTGACGACACATGGCATGTTGCTGACATGTCATTAGTATGGAAGGCTGACATGCACAGTTATTTAAGCATGGCAGATCAAGGCCACAACGGCATGCTGACAAGTAATCAGGGGGTGGGGGGGATGAGCACAGGACTGGGGATCACAATTTTCGTGTGAGAGGCTAGCAGCGACCGTCCCTTCATAGTGTTCGGAGCAGAGGCTATGCCGTGTACATGCCAATCGAACTGTACCTGTGCGACAACACAACGGGAGGGCACAACCATCATCCTGTGGAGAGGTCCTTTCACTGTTTGTGGTAGAATCAGCAGGATTGCTCTCCAGGGGGTGCAGTTCCTGGAGCGCATTTGGTCATCGACATACTGTTCCTGATGGATGAGCCAGACTGAGTGACCCTCCAGCATTTGGTGATAGAAAGAGTTAATATTTCCCACTGTGTGCACCCTACCGCCATTGTCCCATAGTATCCATGAATTATCTGCAAAGGTAAAAGCACTGAAGTGACCTGGACGATATAAGATATATGCCCGAATATTCGGATCCGTGCCTGGCTCATGGTTTTGCGGAGCAGGCTGGAATTGCAGTCGCCTACCCATAGATGCCATAGCCAGGACTTCTATGTTCACCCCAGGCGCAGTGCTGTCGTCGTCTTGGCAGACGGCACGGTGCTCTTCTTCTATGCAGCGAACAACGTCTGCGAAATCAGCAACAGTATAAGGATTACAATTGTAAGCAAGGAGACATACATTAATGGCATAGTACGCACAGCGCCCTCGCTGTAGCGCTATGACATTGTCTGATTCCGCAGGTTGCGTGGGGGATCCGTTTACGGGAGGGGGATCCTCGTTCGATTCTGTAGGTTGCCCAGGTGGCGGAGACTCATTGTGGTCTTGACCAATTGGCTCCGGTATGTGCTCCGGAGAGAGATGATCTTCAACCGGGGGCTCCATCAGGTAATCAGGAGACGGGCCATTGTCATTTGGGGCAGGGGAGCGAGTGGGGCTAGGCCGATGAGAGAGGGGCGGGTCAGGTGGGTGAGAACTGGGTGGACCAGATGTGGGAATCGGAAGCTGATCAGCCTCACTTGTGCTTAGGGCGGCTGCTAGTCGTGCAAACGCTGCACAAGTA